ATATGCCTCAGTCCATCCTGAAAAAGTGTCTACAAAGACCAGTAAGTACCTGTAGCCATACCTGCCCGGTTTTACCTCAGTGAAGTCAGTTTCCTAGTAAGCCCCTGGGTTTCTTAGATGTGTTCCAGGTTATGGGGGTTCCGGGTAGCGTTCGTCAGTTGACACGCCTTGCATTTGCTGACGATTTGTTCAATTTTGGAGTTGGCATCTTTAATTTTAATGTGTGACTGTCTAACCAGGCCTTGTAGTCTTCTCTGTCCCATGTGGGATGCTCGGTGTATTTTTGATAGAACCCTTATTCCCATTTCTTCGGGCAGGATGATTTTGTTATCTGCGGACCTCCACCAGCCCTTAAGACATCGAGTCATAGGTAGTCCTTTAAGCCACTGTAGGTCCTTGAGTGAATAAAGAGGAGTCTCTGGTAGGTTGGGGTCCCCTGGATCTATGAGTCTGACTGCCAGGACCGGGGTGCCCTTGCGGACCGCTTCTTGAGCGGCCCGGTCGGCCATATTGTTGCCTCTGGCCGTCTCAGTTATGTCCTTTTGATGGCCTGGACAATGGATGATAGCTAGTTTTTTTTTTGGGGGGGGGAGCCATAAAGCTTTGAGGAGAGCTAGGATCTCCTCTTTATTTTATTTGTAATAGTCTTTCCCTTGGGCATGAGGAGCCCCCTTTCTTTCTAAATTGCCCCATGGACCTGAGCAGGGGCGAAGGCGTTATCAACTGTCTGTGTAGACATTTACTTTTCTCCCCTGCCCCAGAGTTAAAGCTCTAGTACGCGCAATTAGCTCAGCCTTCTGTGCTGAGGTCCCGGCCGGCAAGGGCTCCGCCCAAATGGCTTTTTCGGTGGATACCACTGCGGTCCCGGCATGCCTCAGTCCTTGTTGTATGAAGCTACTGCCAGCTGTGTACCAGGTGACTTCCGCATCTGGCAATGGGACGTCCTGCAGGTCCGGACAGGTGGCATGAATAAGGGCCAGGATCTCAGCACAGTCATGGAGGGGAGCCTCTAAGTCCGGGTCAGGCAGCAATGTAGCTGGGTTCAGGGCGGCCGGGGCCTGGAAAAGAATTCTGGGAGGGCTGAGTCGCAGAGTCTGAGAATGGGTCATGCAGGCAGTACTGAGCCATTGATCTGGTGGTTGCTTCAGAACTCCCTCTATTGCATGAGGGGTAGTGACCGCCAGCTCTTGCCCCATAGATAATTTATCTGCATCCTTAACCAGCAGGGCCACAGCCGCAATCATGCGGAGACATGGCAGCCAACCAGGTGCCACCAGGTCCAGTTTCTTGAAGAGGCAGGCCCCAGGCTGGAGCCAGGGGCCCAACACTTTTGTTCCCCCAGGGGAGAGATGGACTTGGGCCCCCAGTTTTGTCTATAAATTACGGCCCAGAAGGGGGCAGGGGCATTCTGGGCTGACCATAAACGAGTGGGATACCCGGCCCACACCCAGATCCACAGTTCTTCGGGTAGTCCAAAGACATTGCTTGACTCCGGTCGCTGCTTGGACCCATGACCTTTTGGCTGACAGTGGGCCCCTGGGCCGTAGGAGCACAGAATGCTGGGGCCCCCGTATTGACCAGGAAGTCTGTAGATTTCCCTTCCATTTGTAAGGTTACGCTGGGCTCAGGGAGGGGCACCGAAACCCATCCCCTCTAGTCACTGTCTTCCCCCATAACCAGGATGGGGGCCGCAGATCTCAGTTTCTTGCTGGGACAATCCCTGACCCAATGCCCCTCTTCTCTGCAACAGGCATATTGATTGCGGCCCACGCGGGGTCTTTTCCCATCCCATTTGGTTTCTTCCTTACTGTGTTCTTGAGGCCAGATGCTTGAGACGGTGTCTTCAGTTGTCTGGATCTGCTGTGGCAGCCAGCAGTATCTTTGCCAGGTCCCGGTTCTGCCTCTTTTCAGCCCCAGTTTGTTTATTTTCTGCACTTTCCCTGATATCATATACCTTCTCTGCCACGACCACTCAATCTTGGAGACTCTTTTCTCCAAGTCTTTCTAATTTTTGAAGCTTGCGGCGGATATCGGGAGCCTCTTGGTTAAAGAAAGCCATGGCCACTGCCGATTTACTAGATTCGGCCTCCAGATCCATGGGAGGGTACTGGCGAAAGGCTTTCATTATCCTTTCGAGGAAGGCTGCGGGGCTTTCCTCGGAACCATGACTAACATTATAAACCTTGGCCATATTACTGGGCTCGCGAGCTGCAGCCCTGAGACCTGCCAATAGAGCCTGGCGGGACCCTAGGAGGCGCTCCTTACCTTCTGCTGTGTTGTAGTCCCAATCTGGGCAGGTGAGGGGGAAGTGCGAGTCAATACGAGCCTGGTCCGTTGCGGGGACCCCAGTGGGGCCAGGACCCAATTTCCTGGCCACACTCTGGATGCGTTCTTGTTCCTCAGTGGTGAAGAGAACCTGCAACAATTGCTGACAATCGTCCCAGGTGGGCTGATGAGTAAAAAGGACAGTTTCCAACAGATTAATAAGGGATCTAGGATTCTCAGAAAATGGAGCATGCCCAGACAACGATATACAGAACGTGGTCCGGGTGGCCCGTGCGGGGCTGAGAGACCTGCTGTTCTATTTGGTGCAAAGAGTCTGAAATTTTCTCTTTTTAACTTCCACGGAGAGATTGTGCGCTCGAGCTCTGATATCCTTGAAGTGAGTGAGCAACAGGTCTAGGGGTTTAGAGGGTGTCTGTCCCTTTCGTCAGTCTCAGTCGCCCAGTAATAAAGTCCAACAGACACAACCAACAGTCACAGGCACATACAGAAAGACAGATAACAAAGTCCGCCGTGGAAAAGAAACTGAAACTGGGGCGGTACTTTGGCCAATTCGCGGGAGCGACCCGCTTTGTCCTGCTGGATCAATACAGACTAGGGGCACTCCGTCCCCTCCGAAGGAGCCCGGAATGTCTTCCAGGTCTCCTGAGACCGTGGCCCCCCAGTGTGTCTGCCTTGACCACCTCTGGTCGCCTAATACAGATTTGTCTCGAGACCAGAGTTACACAGACGAACACAACAGAAAGAGATTCTTAACAGCTGGTCGACCCTCCGGTTCGGCGGTCCTGGGGGTCTTGGGATCCTGGACAAGCCCCCAAATGTTATGCCCAGATCGCGAGACCCCAAAGACCACCGAGGAGCCGATTCCGATGCAAACACACAGGGTCTTTATTCAAGCTCGAGCAGGGACTCCAACGCACCCGGCGCAGCGGTGATGGTATGGAGCCCCGAACTCAGGGTCGCGGGGCTTTCTATTGCGGTTACAGCGGGATTCGGGGCTTTCCAGCTTGGCGGTCTCCTGATAGGTTGACTTTTCAGGAGGCTGTCTTGTCAGTACCCGATTGGCTCGGCCCACCTGGCCTGACCGCAAACTGCCAACAGGAACGTCTTGGGACGTAGGCGCCTCTTTGCATTAAACTGATTGGCTGTTGCTAGGGGAGTAACTAAGGGCGGGCTGCCTAAGTACTTCCCGTGTTGTGCCCAAATCGTGAGTCCCCTGAGACCCCTAAGGAGCCGTCACGGATGCAAGTACATAAGGGTGTTTATTACAAGCTCAAGCAGGGGCTCACCCATCTACCCACACAGCGGCAGCAGGGTGAAGCCCCGAACAGTGGCGGGCAGGGTTTTTATGGGGTAAGGGACGGGGGTGTTACAGTGCACACGTTGTACGTTTTGCATAATCACATAAGCACCAATAATAAATGTACAACAACCATGGTTATAGTTTTGACCATTCAGTATCCGTGAGGCGTCCGTTACTTTTGGCGGGACCCAATCATGACCTTTGAGAATCCTTTGAAAATGGCCAATTATAAGGTGGGCTCAAAGGGCCCACGCGGGGTTCAGGCAAGCCGTGAGTGATTGGCTAGTTTGTACAGAGTAACTACCTGCAGTTCCCAGCCCTGACTCAGGCCACAGGAATGTTACCCATTTCTTTTGATTGGCTGATCCGAGGGTGGCTTCCGCTGAAGCTTTTCCTGGAACTGGGGCTACGTGCAGCCCGAGGTTGCTCTTAATGGAGGACTCGATTTCAGGCTCTTCACCTGCGGGTTTTTTTTTTTTTTGGAACTGGGTTCGGGCCTAGTTCACCCTCAAGATGGAGATTTTTCTAAAATGGTGTCAGTTAGGTTTAAGGTCTCACCAGTCTCTACCAGTCCGCGAAGTGACTGCCTGTGCACACACACTGTGGTGGATCCCGAAAGAGGTCCCAGTGCCAGGCTCGACCCTGGTTCGGAGATCAAGTAGAGGCCTCAGTGCCCCCAAAATTCCTCACAGAGAGGATATTTACGTTTTTTTTTTAATTTAAGAAAAGATAATAGAGTAAAAAAGGAAAACATTACACATTATGTAAGGTTTAAACGATACAGAGGAGAATACAGCGAACTATTTCCCCGCCACTCCCTTACTTACAGGCTCTTTTCGGCGGGCGCCGCCGCTATCCCCCGGCCTTTGGAATTTCTAATGACGGTCGTGCAGCCGTGTGTTCGCTTCCCCGGCGAGCGCCGACCTCGGGCGGCCCGGAACGTCGCCCGGTTCCCGCTCCGGAAAGGCGCGGGCGCTGACCGCCTCTCGCACGCCGACCCCACAACCACGAGGAGCGCTCCCTCGGCCGCGCTCGCCCGGCGCCTTCCCCGACTTCCGCGTCTTCGCTCCCCAACGGGCGGAAATCGGCACCCGGAAGTTCCGGTTTGTCTCCTCACTTACCTGGCCGGTAGCGCGGCAGAGCGGCGCTGGAGCACGGCTTTGAGGATTCGCTTCGGGCGCCCAACCCCCAAGTGACGCCGTCCCTTTTGCCCCGACTTAACATGGCGCCGACCGCAGTTACTTCCGGGATCTCGGCCGACAACGTCGGCCATCACCAAACAAGGCGCTCAGGCCCGCAGTCTCCCGTCTGCGCACGCTCCGCTAGCCCCCCCTACTCGCACTCTCGGCGGCCGCTCCCGCTTCCGCTCGAGCCGCCGCCTCTGTGGGCGCCCCCGCCAGCCAATCGCGGGGCGCGGACGCAGCTGGCCCCGCCCGGCGGATCAGCTGAGGGATCCGCGATGTCTGTTGACAGCGGCGGCGGCGGCGCGGCCGGTTCCGGGTTCGGCGCCCGTTGGGGGGTAAGCAGACGGCGCGGGGCTGCGGCGGGCCGGCGGGCGGGCCGCGTCCGCGGCCGGAGGCGGCGGGCGTCCGGCCCGCAGCGGCGGCGGCGTGGCGGGGGCGCCGAGGTCGGGAGGGCCGCGGGGCGGAGCGGCGGGCCGCAGCCCCTGCGTTCGCGGTCCGAGAGCCTCACCCGCGCTTCCGGGTCTCGTCAGATGTGAATCCGATGGAGCAGCCCGGGGAAGGCCCGCAGCCGCCGCAGCAGCAGCCGTGGGGGAGGCTCCTCCGCTTGGGCGCCGGCGAGGGCGAGCCGCACGTGCTCCTGAGGAAGCCGGAGTGGACCATCGGGCGGAGGAGAGGTGCGGGCCGGGGGCGGGGGGCCGGGGCCGGGGCCGGGGGCCGGGCGAGGCTGGTCCCCGGAGCGGTGGGAGGCCCCTGGGCGGGGCCCTCTCTGCTTTCCAGTTTTTCCTGCAAGTGCTGTCGTTTATTCACTTATCGGTCTGCCCGGCCACTTCTCAGTGCTTCCTGCAGATGATTTAATTCTCGTTACAACTTTATGAAGTAGGTGCATTAACTTAATCTACCCCGAGTATTAGAATGCAGTCTTCTCACGTTCATTACTACGGGAAACATCGCCTCTGACCTCCATGGGATGAAATTAAAGTCAGTAACAGAACACTGGAAAATTCAGTGTGGAGATTAAACAACACACGTCAACAACCAGTGGGCCCAAGGATAAATCACAAGGGAAATTAGAGAATACCTTGAGATGAATGCAAATGAAAGTATAATCTGCCATCACTTTGGGGGTGCAGCTGAAGTAGTGCTCAGGGAAGTTTATAGCCCGTAGACAGCTACGTTAGAAACATCGAAAGTCCCAGCTTAGAGAAGAGCGCTGCTCAAATATTCTTTGAATGAGCCTGGGAAGCTTGGGACCCAACAAAGGCAGGCACGTAGGTGAGGAGGTGTGGTCCCTCTGCACGCTTAATTGCCTCTAAACTCCTACGTGGCCGTCTGGCAATTTGACCTCCCTGGTAGCTTTCCTACAGGGAAAGAAGTGCACTGACTGATCCAGTCAACAAAAAAATGTATTTTGTCTGAAAATTAAAAAGTCATCACTCTGATTTTATGAATTTTTAATTTAAAAATTTTAAGTTCCAATGTAATTGGCATAGGGTGTTTAGTTTCAGGTGTACAATATAGTGATCCAAGGATCCTGTACCTTATTCAGTGCTCATCACCGGAAGTGGGCTCCTCCATCCCCGTCACCTAGTTCCCCCACCGCCCCCCGCCGGCCCACTGGTGACCAGCAGTGGTTGAATCCATTTTTTTGTTTCTGATTTTATATTTTAAAAAAGAATGTGAAGGTTTGTTGAAAAGCAATTTTTTTTAATAGGTTAACTATACTGGAATTAAGCAAAAAAAGGCCAAGTACTATGTTAAAAAAATAAGATGAAGATAAAAGAATAAAATAAAAGCAATTATGTTTTGGTTTTATTTTACCCCTTACGATGTACCTGCTCCTGGTTTTGGTTTTGTGGTCGTTAATGGGTTGTTTGTTTTGTAGTCTTCAATCCCAATGTGAAGTTAGGTTGTTTTTGTTGTTTTACAGTTTTGAATGTATTTACATGTTCTTGGAAAGTTTTGAAAAATGCATTAATTGCCTTTAACTGATGTATTAGGAAGTTTGGTGAACAACAGAAGCCCCGCGTTTTCAAGCTGACAGCACCACATAACTTGGTCTGGGCGAAGGACTTTGTACCACTTTGTACCTCCTTCCTAGAGTCCCTGAAGGATAATTGAGATCAAAAGTGGGAAATGCTTAAAAGGAGCCTGGCTTAGAGTTAGCAGATGTTAGCCATTGTTATTATAACACAGTAACGGATGTCATTTTACATGTTAATACAAAGAGCAAAAAGAGGTTGCTGAATTAATCCTAATAAGAAGTCCTTTTGGTGAATGTATTAGCCTTTCTGGCAAAATAGAAGTTGCCGTGTTAGCCTGCTCAGGCTGCTATAACAAAACACCACAGACCTGGAAGCTTAAGCACAGAAATTTATTTTTCATAGTTGTTAAGTCTGAGAAGTGCAAGATTAAGGTGCTAGTCAATTTGTTTCTTGGTGAGAGTGTTTGTCCTGGATTTCAGGTCTTGCTCATCCTCACAGGCTAGACAAAGCTTTGGTATCTCTTCCTTTTCCTCCTGTTTTTTTTTTTTTTTTAATGTTTTATTTCTGAGAGAGAGCGAGAGAGAGCAGGGGAGGGTCAGAGAGAGAGGGAGAGCCAGAATCAGAAACAGGCTCCAGGCTCTGAGCTGGCTGTCAACACAGAGCCGGACACAGGGCTCGAACCCATGAACTGTGAGATCATGACCTGAGCCGAAGTCAGATGCTTAACTGACTGAGCCACCCAGGCGCCCCCCTTTTCCTCCTCTTATAAGGGTATTAGCCCTAATGATTTCATTTAACCTTTATTGCCTCCTTACAGGCCCTGTCTTTACAGTCATATTGGGTTTCAGGCCTTTAACATAGGAATTTTGGGGAGACACATTCTGTAAGAGTTGGAGAACATGGTTATACTTATTTTAAAACAGTAACATGCCTTCTATATGTAAGGCATTGTTCCAAGGAAAAAGGGGAGCTGAGTTGACACATGTGGGAAGGGAGATGGAAGACCTCCCCATCCCACAGAGCTTCCCATTCTCTGGGAGTGGCAGCAGTGTGCACCAGCTATGTGACAGATTTAACCAACTGAATGACAGACACATAGGGCAGATGCCAAGAATAGAACTAAGCACGGAGTATCTTGGATCTGAATTAGAATGCTTGTGTTCTGGTGTGGAGAAGCTTGTTAAAATCCCATTCCAGTGACACGGTGGGCTGGTCCTGGGTCTGGGGCTGCAAAGAAACTGTCCCACATTTTGTGCTTAGTGCATTGGGAAGATCCTGAAAACAGGGGAAATTTACCTCGGATAAATGTAGCAAAGCACTTCCCATAATGTATTATGTGCAAATAAGATTTCTAGTACTTGAGGTTTAGGGAGGTATAATTAACATATGGTAAAATTCCTCCCTTATAGGTGTTCAGTGAGTGTTGAGAAATGGAATCACCACTGCAGTCAGATGCAGAACATTTCCAACTCCCCAGAAAGTTCCCTGGTGGTCCCTTGGATCAGCCCCCTCCTCTCACCCTGAGCTCTGGCAGCCATCTATCTAATTTCTACCCCTATCATTCTGCCTTTCAAATATGTCATCTAAGCGGAATCACACAATATTCCGCCATAGTCTGTGTATGGTTTCTTTCCTTTGACCTAATCCTTTTGAAATTCATTTTAGGCTGTTGTGTGTTTCAGTAATTTGTTTCTCTTTGCTGCTGTGTAGTAGTCTGCTGTTTGGGTGTACCGCAGTTTGTTTTTTAATTCACTACCAGTTGATGGACACTTGTATTGCTTCCCATTTTTGGTTTTTAAAAAGTAAAGCTATAAACCTTAGTAGCTATAGTGTAAATGTCTTATAGGCAAATTCCTGATTATATAATAAGAAGCTCCTGCAAACTTTTATTCCTCTGGTTTAAGGAGAGAACAAAGTATTTAAGGATTTCCCCCTTGCACTTAATGAGGATATAATGTAGAGGCATGCCCCTACTGTTTTAAACTTTCTCAAGCATGTTCATGTGTCTGTAATTGCTCAATAATATTTTCTGGTCATTGCTTCAATTTTCTGGTGATTTATGAAATCGTAGATTACACAGAAAAGAAGTTAAGGACTGAGTTAAGATGCCAAAGAATTACTCAACTAAGCCTCTTAATTTCTTTAAACTTCTGCTTTTATCAGTGTAGCTGCATATATGTGCATGTTGTAAAATTGTCACCAAGAACCCAGAGATGTTGATGGGGGTATCCTCTAGGTAATGGGGAGTCAGAAAGGTTCAAGACATTGTCCCTGTCTCTTTATTTTGGATTAATACATAAATGCTTTTTATTTTTATTTTTTTATTTAAAACAATTTTTGTTTTAAATGTTTTATTTATTTCTAGGAGAGAGAGAGAGACAGCGTGAGCAGGGGAGAGTCAGAGAGAGAGGGAGTCACAGACCGAAACAGGCTCCAGGCTCTGAGCTGGCAGTCAGCACAGAGCCCGACGCGGGGCTCAAACCCACGAACCGCGAGATCATGACCTAAACGAAAGTCGGACGCTCAACCGACTAAGCCACCCAGGCGCCCCTTAAAACAATTTTTTTAATGTTTATTTGTTTTTGAAAAAGAGAGAGCACAAGGAGGGGAGGTGCAGCGAGAGAGGGAGACAGAATCTGAAGCAGGCCTCGCTCTGAGCTGTCAGCACTGAACCCCACAAGGGGCTCTAACCCACGAACCGTGAGATCATGACCGGAGCTGAAGTGGGATGCTCGACCGACTGAGCCACCCAGGCGCCCCCATAAATGCTTTTTAAAAAATTGCTTCCTATCTTGCTTGATTCGGTGTTGTCTCCTACCGTGCACACACCATGAAGCCTGATTTTCAACCATGTGCTTTGATTGCGCAAAGGGCACTTTTGTGCACAGACCCCACAGTCACATCCAATGTGTCCCTCTCTCTCTCTTAGGTTGTGACCTTTCATTCCCTGGCAATAAACTAGTCTCTGGAGATCACTGTAAAATTACCGTGGATGAAAAATCTGGTCAGGTGTCGCTGGAAGATACCAGGTAATGTCTTTCTGGTCTTGAAGCCAGTGGCTACAGAGAAGAGACAATGGTTTTGTTTCTTCTCTGTAACACAGAAGTTTCCTAGGCTTTGGGTTATTAGGAAATATATTTTCTGGTTTCCAGTAATTTATTCATGTCTATGATGCTTCTTGGATATATTCAAATTAAAGCAAAAATATCTCTGAAAAAAACTTAGAAGGCAGTGATAACCTCTCAAGTTGCAAACTATTCAAATTAGACTTCTTTTCTCCAAATTAAAAAAAAATTTTTTTAATTGCTATACAACATAAAGAGAAGGTAAAAGTGAAAAGCTTTGCCAAATTCCACTCACCCACTAGAAATACATGTGTTTATTTTGTATTAAAGAGGTTTTACTATGTATATTGTATCCATTTTTTCACTTGTATTTATGGTGTGGTTATATTTGCCACATCTAGATTTATCTTATTTATTATTATATAATTTATCTGTCAGTTCCTTTATTGATGGAGATTTATTATTTTAATTTTTTCTTATTATAAATGACACTGCGATTCTTCTCTTCCAAAATGCTTTGCATTCATGTCTGATTATTTTTTGGGGATAAATTCATAGGAAGAAATGCTGTGTCAGAATGTGCCTATTTTAAACCTGGTACAAGTAGCAGATGGCCTTTCATCAGTACATTGAGAATATGCCTTTTTCAACCAGATGAATTTTTATTTCTCTAAAGGTTAAGTGCTATGAGATTGTTTGATAACTATAATGTTAGGGATGGAAGACTAGGAATTAGTTTTATGAGGAGGAACTGATGCTCCTTTTCCTCCTCTAGTGCATAGCAGATTAAGTTCCTCATCTCAGCCCAGTGCATCACCGGCTCTAGAATTGTCCTGACTTTGCAGTGCTGGCCTTATGACCATATTGGCTTCTTGTGGCTCTTGAACAAATTACCACATACTTAGTGGCTTCAAATCACACAAAGCTATGATGTTCTAGCGCCGAAGGTGCAAAGTCTAATTGGATTAGCCAAATCAAGGTGGCAGCAGGGCTGGCTTCTTCTAGAGACTCTAGGGGAGAATCTGTTCCCTGCCTTTTCCAGCTTCTAGAGGTGCCTGCCTTCCCTGGCCGAGGTGCCTGCAGAGGAGAAGGTGTCCTGGGCAGCAGCAACTGCAGGTGCAAGGGCCCTGTGTGCCGGGTGCGTGGTGAGTGGGAAGGCGGGGAAGTTAGACCGAGCAGGAACGCCCAGGGATCCATACTAGGGAGTCTGGACTTAAGTCCTAGAGCAGTGACAGGTAATCGGGGATTTCAGCAGAATAGTAAAGTCAGGCTCCTGTGGTTAGAAAGAGCACGAGAATGGAGTGAGGAGGGGCCCGGCAGCACAGGCCCCGGGTGGCTGTGGCGGCATCTCCAGTGTTTGTCCGTGAAGTGTCACTGGAACACGGCCACAGTCTCTTGACTGCATCCTGTGTCTGGCTGCTTTCATGTGTCAGCAGCAGAGCCCAGTAGTTGGGACAGAGACCGTGTGACCAGACAGCCTGAACTGCTTACTTTCTGGCACTTTCCAGAACACCAAAGGAGTGGAAGTCTGCTCAGATGTAAAAGTAAAGCCTCTTCAGCACTGGAGGCCTTAGGAGTGAAGCCATACAGTTAAGGCATGGGTGGTTCGAATGCCTGAAGCTGGGCCAGTTTGCTTAATTGCTGACTTCTGTTCTTGTATACTGTTCATCCACTCGTGATTTTCTGTTGGGTCTCAGCTTGGGTATCTCCTCAGGGAAGCACTTCCAGTCCCGTCTGACTTAGGCTACTGCCTGTGCCCTCTGCAGCCCCTGCCTCTTCCACTTGGCAGTGTGGTCCCTGATGGACTGGAGTGGCCTCCCAACTGAGGGAACACACCATCCTCCAGTCTAGAGCCTCGCATTTAATTGCTTCTGCTCAGAACCTGTCTCTTAGGTGTGTTGGTGCCCGTCTGAGGAATGAGCTGCCTACTTGGAGGGAGGGGTAGATGAGTACACAGCGCTAAGTGCAGAACGGGGGGGGAGCTGGAAATCGGAGCTGCTGGTAGAAGTCCCGGGGTCCACTGGAAGCAGACAGAGGGTGATGTGCTATCGGACAAGCAGAAATGTTGAAACACAGACTAGTCTGTCAGTAAGGGGGCAGTAGGCAAGCTTTCTCTCGAGAGAATTGTAGGGTGGCACTTGCATATATGACTCGTTAAATATTTACATCATTTTTAGGAGTATTTTATTATTTTCAAAGCAAAAATGTTGAACTTCTTTTTAAAAAAATTTTTTTAATGCTTTTTACTTATTTCTGAGAGAGAGAGAGACACAGCGTGAGCAGGGGAGGGTTGGAGAGAGAGGGAGACACAGAATCTGAAGGAGGCTCCAGGCTCTGAGCTAGCTGTCAGCACAGAGCCCAATGTGGGGCTCGAACCCACGAACCGTGAGGTCATGACCTGAGCTGAAGTCAGGCGCTTAACTGACTGAGCTACCCAGGAGCCCCTGAACTTCTTTCTAAGTGGTGGTAGAAAATTTTAACTCCCAAGTTATTCTAGTAGGATAAATTGCATTTTTGTTGTCTCTGCAGCACCAATGGAACAGTAATTAACAAGCTGAAGGTTGTTAAGAAGCAGACTTGGCCTTTGCAAACTGGGGATGTCATCTACTTGGTGTACAGGAAGAATGAGCCAGAATACAGTAAGAGAGGGGATGTGCAGGGTGGGCTCAGGTGGTATATGGTGGGGAAGTCTGGCCACACCTGGGAAGCAGAATCAGAAAAGTGAGTCCGCTGAAGTAGGTATTTACCTTTAGACTGTTAGTGTTAGCTACGTTTTCTTTGTTCTTTATGGCGATTCTTTTTTTTTTTTCTTTTAAGGTTTATTTATTTTTGGGAGAGAGAGAGCGCACGCACAAGCAGGGGAGGGCACAGAGAGATGGAAACACAGAATCTGAAGTAGGCTCCAGGCTCTGCGCTGTCAGCACGAAGCCCGACGTGGGCTTGAACCCACGAACTATGAGATCATGAGCTGAGCCAAAGTCAGATGCCCAACTGACTGAGCCACTCAGGTGCCCCCTTTATGTAGATTCTTGGTATGAGTCCTATCTGTTGAAGAGTGGGAGTGTTGACCTTGAATTGTGAGCCCCAGTCATTCTTCACAAATACCACAATGCTCATGAGTCCCACATCTCAGAGTGGCAAGCAGAAGTGAACAGGGCATGGGCTATGTTACATAGCAGAAGAAACCCGAGTTGTGGGGAGAAAGACTTAGAATAAGGGGCTGGAGGCCACTTGTGGCTCTGCTTTCAGAGACCTTCCAGGAGACAACAGAGGTCTGACGATTCTATTCAGGCTTTTCCAGAACTGAGCATGTGCGTTTGTGGAAGAACAATACAGGACAAGGAGAGTTGGGAGAGGTTTTGAAGGTTACCCACAAACTGGCGGGAGGAGGCAGATATTCCCAGGTTGTCTCTTGCGTTGTCAAGGCCAGCCCCTGGCCACGTGGCAGGGTCTTGTGTTGTCTTCTTCTGGTGATTTGAAATGACAAAGTACAGATTCATCATCTACTCATCGTTTTGCCTTTCTTGTGTCTGCCTCCTGGCTCAGGACGTTTTTTCCCAGAGGCTTATTTATTTTAAAGTTGGTGAAGATGCTTTGGTTCACTTATTTTGAAATTCCTTAAACTGGTTAATGTTGTGAGTAGCTGGTAAGTCAACATAGTCATCAAGGATAAAGGGACCAAAGTGACAGAAAGGAGAAGAAGGAAGGAGCCCCTGCGGGTGTGTGAGGACACTGTTGTGATCCGCTTGGTTTCCTTTCAGACGTGGCATACCTCTATGAGTCTCTGAATGAAAAGCAAGGCATCGCACAAGACCCCTTTGGTGAGTGAGGCTGTAACACAGGAGTGGGTGCGTAGTGAGGGCATAGTGAGTTTCTAGCAAAGCCTTTTCATCTGCTGGACTGCTCCTCCTGAGCCCTGACTCGATGCGCTTTCTGCTCCTGTTGTGCTCACAGAAGCTAATAAAGAGAATGTGTTCCACGTGACCAAAGATACCTCAGGTGCAGGGCAAGGTGACGATCCCCAGGTCCTGCCGTCCTCGCCCACCACTCAGGCGTGCTTCGAGGAACCACAGCCATCGACGTCGACATCAGACCTCTTCCCCACGGCCTCTACCTCTTCCATGGAGCCCACCTCTGTAGGGCCAGCGCCTCCCTTCAGCCCTGGTAAGATGGGAGTCTCGGGGTGATAGCTGCGTTGCTTTTTGGTCACTAGTTCTAACCTGTGTCATCACAGAAACACATAAACAGAGGTGGCATCGGGCATCAGGCTCTCGGTAGTAGGATTTCTGTAGGAGTAAATATTGTCTTATTCCCTCCCCAGGAGAAATGCTGAAGGGCGAAGACTATAGTACCCTGGTATTTTTTATAATTTTATTGGGAAAGAATTCATATGCCATAAAAATTCCCTAGGTGAAGTGTATACTTCAGCAGCTTTTACTATATTCGTACTGTTGTGTAATTCCAGAACATTTCATCACCCAAAAGGAGACCCCCATACAGTCACTGCCCTCCCTTGGCAACCATTGATCTGCCTTCTGTCTCTGAATTTGCCTGTTCTGGACAGTTCATAGATTGAAATCACGGGGCACCTGGGGGCCTCAGTTGGTCAAGTGCCCGACTTCGGCTCAGGTCATAATCACGCCATCTGTGAGTTTGAGCCCCATATCAGGCTCTGTGCTGACAGCTCAGAGCCTGGAGCCTCCTTCAGGTTCTGTGTCTCCCTCTCTCTACCCCTCCCCTATTTGCGCTCTGTCTGTATCTCTCAAAAATGAATAAACATTAGAAAAACTTTTTTTTTTTTTTTAATAAGAATTGGAATCATGTACTCCGTGGCCTTTCGTGTCTGCTGCTTTCACTGAGCATCATGTTTTCAAGACTTATCCAGAATAACATATAATTTAAGTTTTTTTTATGTTTCTTTACGTTGATAGAGTGAGAGAGCACGAGTAGGGGAGTGGCAGAGAGAGGGAAACAGTACCAAACAGGTTCTACACTATCAGTGCAGAGCTCGAAGCCATGAACTGTGAGATCATGACCTGAGTCCTAATCCAGAGTCGGACACTCAAGCAACTAAACCACCCTGGTGCCCCTTGACACTTTTAGAGATACAAAATAATGAATGTGAACGAGTCTGTGTAATATTAACACTAACGCGTATTATAAAATGATTAAAAACAATTGACACTGGCTGCAGAAAAGACATGCAGATAAATAAAGTATAACAATCCAAGAATTTAGCACATAATGAATGTGGCAGTTCAAAGCCATGAGGAAAACTGGGTTGTTTAATGAACAGAAGTGATTAACTTTTGAAAGAAAATAAAGCTAGATTTGTACCTCATCCATTACAACAGACTACTTGAAGATGGATTTGAATTCAAACTACAATAATATCTGAAGAAAACAAAGGTGATTACTCATAATTTGGGGAAGGTTTTCTTTATACATGATACAAAGGCAAAAACCACCATTTAAAAAAAACAATAGAGGCGCCTGGGTGTTTCAGTAGGTTAAGGGTCCGACTTCAGCTCAGGTCATGATCTCTGTGGGTTTGAGCTGCTAGTATGGACCCTGCTTCTCTCTCTCTCTCTGCCCTTCCCCTGCTCTTCTCTCAAAAATAAACAAACATGGGGTGCCTGGGTGGCTTAATCGGTTAAGGGTCCGACTTCAGGTCAGGTCATGATCTCTCAGTTTGTGGGTTCGAGCCCCATATCAGGCTCCATGCTGCCCGGATGGAGCCTGATCCTCTGTCCCCTCTCTCTCTGCCCCTCCCCGACTCTCTCAAAAATAAATATTAAAATAATAATTTCAAAAATTTTTAATAAAAAGTCAGTAAATTTAACCATTAAAATTTAGGGCCACATGGGTGGCTCAGTCTGTTAAGTGTCCAACTTTGGTTGGGGTTATGATTTCACAGTTTGTGGTTTCAAGCCCCACGTCAGGCTCTGTGCTGACAGCTCAGAGCCTGGAGCCTGCTTCAAATTCTGTGTTTCCATCTCTCTCTGCCCCTCCCCTGCTCGCACTTTGATTTTCTCTCAAAAATAAACAAATATTAAAAAAGTTAAAAATAAATAAATATTAAAAAAATTAAAACAAAAACAAATTCTCTCTCCCCCCTTCATTTTGCCCCTCCCCTACTTGTGCATGCTCTCTCTCCAAAACAAAACAAAACAAGATTTAAAAAGTAGAACTACCATTTGGTCCAATAATCTTACTTCTGGATATACATTCAGAGGCAGTGAAATCATGGTCTCAAAGAGATGTCTGCACCTCATGTTCATTGCAGCCTATTCACAAAGGCCAAAGACTCAAAAACAACCTAAGAATCCCTCGATGGATGGATGAAGAAAATGTGACTTGTGTGTGTACACATAGAATTGTTGATTCCACCATGAAAGGATAGTGCATTTATATATTGTGCAATTAAGAAAATAGAAGCATAAACAAAATCTTGCTGTACGCCAATCAGATGGAAAGCTTAGCCCCTACTGTGAAAAGCTGGGGGAATTTTTCTATCTGCACGCTTCTGTGTATCCATACTCGAATAACCAGCCGGCTAACTATGAGATTTGGTGCCAGGTGCTTTTATAAGTTTTAGGTTAATCCTCACCATTGGTCTGTTGGAGAGTCCCATCATCATAATCTTCGTTCTGGAAGGGGAAGCTTGACTGAGCATCGAAGGCCCTTAAGACCGTGGTGGGAGTGAGAACCAGAGCAGCACCCATCCAGGAAGCCCCCTCTTCTTCCCTTGCTGCACAAACTGATTTGCTCCCCAAACAATTCTAACTTTTTTCTTTTGGCTGCTGTGGGGCAGTTTCTTCCATTTTCAAAATAACAACACTTACCACTTAAGTATTGAAGATCGTGTGTGTACTGTAGTTTGGTATTATGCACTGGGCCTTTTTTAAGATAAAGATTATTAGGAAATTTCCTTACCTTTCTATCAGGCTCGTTCAAATTCATGACTCCTTGGGAAACAGTTCACACACAGCATCCCTGTCTGGCCTTCATCTCCTTATAGTCTGAAGCCTGCTGCGTCCCTGTTCTGAGAGGCCTCTCTGTGTGTCCTGTGCCAGCGGAGTGTACAGCGCAGTGAGCGTCACAGGATCGCCAGCACGTGTGTTGGCCCTGTGTAGACTGAACGTTCCACAGCTGGTCCCAGTCAGACACCTCTGCATTTCTTTCCCAGTGAATGTGCCGCTTGCCCCAGCTGCACTGAGTGCGATAGTGGGCACGTATGCACTTCAGAGATGGGAGCTGAGCGTTTCTGTGTGTACATTATTGAGAACATGGCATCTTGGTATACCTAGACCTGGTTTGAACCTGTGATCCTTTACCTGCCGTACCCTTTCCTTCCAAGGCTGCACGAATCAGAACCTTTCTTGTTGGGGCGCCTGTGTAGCACAGTCAGTTACGCAACTCTTCAGTTCAGCTCAGATCGTGATCCCAGGGTTGTGGGATCAAGCTCCGTGTTGGGCTCTGTGTTGAGCTGAGCTTGGAGCTTGCTTGAGATTCTTTCTCTCTCCCTCTGCCCCTCTCCCCTGCTGACGTGCTCGTTCTCTCTCTCTCACACAGATTAAAAAACAAACGAACCTCTCGTTTGTCCTTCTTACAGGCTTCAGAGATGCAGGCATCTCTCCAAAAGAATGTGGTCCATCTGTGGCAGATGCTGAAACCGCCACCTTGCCCTTGGTTCTCCCAGAGAAAGAAGGAGCGCCCTTCTCTCAGCCAGGGTCCTGGGACCAAGAGGGTTCGGAGCCCGTCACGAAGAGAATGAAAGCAGGTCAGAGCCTCATGATTTTGTGTATCTCTGGCCCTGGAGTAGTTTTGAGCCTCTCCTGACAGGACCTCTTCCTCTGCACTTGCAGATGCCTCAGCATGTTCAGAATGGAAATCTGAGCCTTTTTCTCTGTAGACAGCATCGGGGTTGAACCATACTTACTATGGGGTTATGCTCACGGTCTGGAAGCAGTGCATTCTGAATTGCAATTCTGTCCTGATACGGCCATCAGTTTTTGTTTTTGTTTTCATCAGTTTTTAAGAATATGTTGTCTTTCAGTCATAGTTTTAACCTTCTTTTTAAAGGTGATTTATAGAGGGCCATGTGGGCAGCTCAGTCAGTTAAGTGTCCAACTTTGGCTTAGGTCATGATCTCACAGTTGGTGGGTTCGAGCCCCATGTTGGGCTCCCTGCTGGCAGCACAGAGCCCACTTTGGATCCGCTGTCTCCCCCCCCCGCCCCCCGCTTGTGCGTGCGTGCTTTCTCTCAAAATAAATAACGATTTGGAAAAAAAAGGTAACTTAGAGAAAAATGTACTCTTAAAAAGCCAATGTTAAAAAGATTGCAAAAGATACTTGGGAACATGTAATGGGACAGTGGCTGTGTTGTAGGCCGGAGAGCAGCCTGCGGTTGGAGCAGTGAGGCGGGGAGGGCGGCTCTGGAAGGGGTGTGGACCCCAGGGGAAGAGTCTAGAATATTGGATGTGTTGAGTGGAAAATTGAATTGACTGGCTTGAGGAGGGTGTGGAAAGAATCAGCAACAGTACATAAAAAAGTAAGTATAAAAATGAGGCCATTTTTTTACTCCAGCAAAAATGAAAAATTGTTGAAGGAAGAAAACTTAATTTTGGGGTACTCTTTGGCTCAGCAGTGGATATTTACCTGAGCATAATAACATAAATACGACATACCAGACCAACAATTGTGTTATGATAATATAGTGAATGGGGCCCAGGGAGCAGAATCCTTCTCTGCCTTAATAGATATCAGGAGGTGATGTGTAAAATCACTCAGCCTCGACATGGCATTACAGTTCAGAAACCTGGAGGTCCATGTGAGGAGAAACACCCAAAAACATGAAAGTAGTTTCCTCAGAGGAGGGAGATTGAAGGTGAGGACAGGCCAGGGCAGAGGGCTGCTACCCTCTTAATATTTGGCTTTGTAAATTATGGGGAAGTATTTCTTTCGTTAAAAATAAAAATTATTCTATGAGCACTATAGAACACCAGCAGAAGAAAAGGAAAAAAAATATTGAAAGCTCTTCAATCAGAGAGTCTTTATTTTTCAGTATATACACAAGTCATGTTTTTTTTTTAAACGAAAACAGTGATTATACACAAATATTGTGTGACAAGTGATCTTTATTTTTTAGCCGTGTATCCAGAATGCCTCTTTTTATATCATTGTTCTTTTAAAAGAAAACTTAAGGGGCGCCTGGGTGGCTTAGTCGGTTAAGCGTCCGACTTTCGCTTAGGTCATGATCTCACGGTTCGTGGGTTCGAGCCCCGCGTCGGGCTCTGTGCTGACTGCCAGCTCAGAGCCTGGAGCCTATTTCAGTCTGTGACTCCCTCTCTCTCTGACCCTCCCCTGCTCACGCTGTCTCTCTCTCTCTCTCTCCTAGAAATAAATAAAACATTAAAAAAAAAATTTAAAAAAAAATAAAAATAAAAATAAAAGAAAACTTAAATGTGTTGGAACTTGAGGCTTATTTTAGGCCTTCTTTTTTTTTTTTTTTTTAAATGTTTTATTTATTTCTAGGAGAGAGAGAGAGAGAGAGCGTGAGCAGGGGAGGGTCAGAGAGAGAGGGAGTCACAGACTGAAACAGGCTCCAGGCTCTGAGCTGGCAGTCAGCACAGAGCCCGACGCGGGGCTCGAACCCACGAACTGCGAGATCATGACCCGAGCGAAAGTCGGACGCTTAACCAACTATGCCACCCGGGCGCCCCTAGGCCTTCTTAAAAAGGCCCTTTAAAATACAAACACCAGGGGCGCCTCGGTGGCTCAGTCAGTTAAGCATCCAGCTTCGGCTCAGGTCATGATCTCATCGCTTGTCAGTTCAAGTCCTGTTTTGAGCTCCACACTCTCAGGACAGAGGCTGCTTGAGACTCTCCCTCTCTTTCTGCCCCTCCCTCAGTCACACGCTGTGTCTCAAAATAAAGTTGAAAATATAAGTGATAAATACAAACAGCGGTGAGGGCTGTATCTTCTTCTGTCCACAGGTTAAGGTGTTCATTAAACAAAAAGGCCAAGTGTCTCTTTCTTCCTTGGTTGATGGTGGGAATGTGCCCCTTTCTCACAGAGGAGGAGGCTGAGCTGAGCCTGCAGTTGCTGGTTGCAGACCAGTGTGGAGGCCCCCACACCGCCCTTGGGGGTGTCAGACCCGAGGCCGTGAAGCCAGACAAAATGGAGGAGACGCTCACATGCATCATCTGCCAGGACCTGCTGCACGACTGCGTGAGGTATGCCCGCTGCCGGGGCGGGGCCCTGCGGGAGCGATGCAGGCTTGGGGGGAGCCGGGAACCTGGTCCTGCTAACTGTGGCTGTAGAAGAGCCTGCGAGGGGAGGTGACGGCAGCCTGGGTCCACATGGTAACGTCAGACCCAAGAGGCCAGGTGCACCTCTGACGCAGAACAGGAGAGCTGTGCTGAGCTTTAAGGGGGTGTTGTCAGCAGAAGGAATGCCCCCAAATGACCCAGGAGTGGCTTAGGGAGAGCCCTCTCCTGGCTTTTCTCTGGGGTCTTAAGAGTGAGAGCCTGAGTCTCCACTTACATGCAGGCTTTTCTGGTGTTTGGTGTCCTGGTTCCTGACACTCCTGGAGTCACAACCTGCTTTACTGTTCCTCCCAGAGCACAGATGGTCACTTCCAGTTTCTTTTAATTAACAAGGACTGAGTTAAAGTAGTTCAGGGTGAAAGCTGTTCTTGCATGGGAACTGTTTCTCACATGGCTTGTGGAAAGCAGGTGACATTCCCAGTCTATTGGCAGAGCATGCAGACCCTGCCACAGTGAGCACTGTGTGCAGGGCGGGTTTTGCCCCACCCTGCCCGGAGAAGCATGGGTTCTAGGCTCTGCTGGGGCAAGTGAGCTTGGTGGGTGGGTAATTTGTAACTGCCCCACAGCCTGAGTGAGGCCATGTCCTCCTCTGGGAAAGAGGCGGTGTGAACTGGGGTCCCTGCGTCTGGGAACATGTGCCCTGGCGTCTGGGGGCCTGGCTGTGGCGTGGCAGACAGACGCTCCACCTGCCAGTGCTCTGCGGGGGCATCTGAAGCCCTGTGCTTGTGCCCTCAGCCTGCAGCCGTGCATGCACACCTTCTGTGCCGCCTGCTACTCGGGCTGGATGGAGCGCTCCGCCTTCTGCCCCACCTGCCGCTGCCCGGTGGAGAGGATCTGTAAAAACCACATCCTGAACAACCTGGTGGAGGCGTACCTTCTCCAGCACCCAGGCAAGTGGGGAATTCACCCAGCTCCTGGAGACGTCGGGGTGTCTCTCTGGAGGTCCCTTGGTCAACAGAGCCGTGTCCTTCAAATTCCAGACAAGAGCCGCAGCGAGGAAGATGTGCGGAGCATGGCTGCCAGGAACAAGATCACACAAGACATGCTGCAGCCCAAAGTCAGAAGGTCTTTCTCTGACGAGGAGGGCAGTTCCGAGGACTTGCTGGAGCTGTCAGATGTGGACAGCGAGTCCTCGGACGTTAGGTGAGTTCATGCCTGGCTCTGGGCGGCGCGTGGGGCTGGGGCCCGGGTCTGCACTGAGCACCCCGGCTCGTGAGCGGTCTGCCTTCTGAGGTGTGACGTCAGCTAGGGACTGCCCGCCTCGGGCGTGGTGAGGGTGGGGTGGGCGCCGGCTGAGTACGGCCGCTCAGCCAGGGGGCGGGGGGGCGTATTTGCCACTCGCCTTTTCCAGCACCCTCTTCCCTTCTCAGGTGTACCTGCGACGCTTATTCTCTTCTGTTGTTGTCTCTCTCCTTACTTCCCATGTTAGTGAGATGTAATGGCTGGACAGCCTGTGTAAGCTTAGGGTACATGGGGCAATGGATGGACTGACGCCTGTTAGGAAATGACTACCGTAACCCATCGCTTGTTATCTACTGACACTTCCTCAGGTGCCTTGATGTACTAGCTACGATGGGTTTGGGATTTAAAGTGTTCTTCGTCCCTCGTGAGCACACTGCCCCCAGCTCAGCTGGTGACCAGAGTCCTACAGTGTTGAGCTGCACTATCATCATTTGTCAGGATATTATTGCGGAAGAGCCTCAGTCACCTGGCTAAGAGGATGGGATTCCGGCAGACCTGATTTTATTTGCTGTAGGATGCTGCTGTTTGAGGACTCAGAAGACCACAATCTGAGTTTTGGGTGGAGGTCGTGACATTTGGAAAGACAAAAATCAAACATTTGAATTTATTATCTTTTGTTTCTTTTTCTAAAATTTAGGACATAACGGTGAAGCAGAAAGTAATAAAAAATCACTATAGTGTGACCATTTTATCCTGTATCCTTCTGGCAACTCCTATATGTAGTCTTTTGTATTTCCTTTATTAACAAAGTAAAAAACGATATGCTTAAAAATGCATCTCTGTGCTGTTTCCCGCACTCTGACTGGAGAGGCCGTGCTGGGGAACGGACCCCAGCTCTGGGCACACGGCCAGCCAGCTCACAGAGGTGCCTCAGCTCAGAGAGCCTGGCCGGGAAGGCACTTTGCTGGACCTGGCATCTGTATCATCATACGCCTGTCACAGGGGCCCTAGTGATGGCCTCTGGGGTTTGTGGAGGAATGTCAGGAAACCCCGCTGACAGTCGGCGTGGCCCGACATGAGGGTCATCTCGTTCTGAAATGAGGTCGAGTGTCTTCTCACCGGTTGTTTTCTAGTTACGTCTTCCCCATTCTTCCCTCGCTGGCTCCTACCGTTGGCGGCAGGCACAGGAAGGCGTTCTCTGAGAGGAGGGGAGAGTCTATGTATATTTTTCCTGTGGGTTCTTTTTTGGTTAACTGTCTGCAGTTTTTGGAAAGCTCAGCTGAAGTGCACAGAGCTAGGTGGTGCAGGGCTTGTCCTGGCCGGCCAGGAATCCCCTGGAGGACAGCAGCATTCAACCGTGGCACATTTTGTTCCGATTTCAATGTGGTTTCTTAGGGGTCCAGGGTGACGGGCCTGAATGCGTCTCTGGGCGGAGTTCACAGCTTGCCCAGCATCAAACCTGTGAGGGTGGGTCCTGCCCACTGTGGGGACTGAGAGTCCACGCTCTGAGGAATGCTGTGCCCGAAGCCGGGTTGGGCAAAACGTGTGTCCGAACCCTAGGAGCCACTGAGGGGTGAGGGTCTCTGGAAACCTTATGGCAGAGGGGAGCCAGCAGGTAGCAAGGAATGGAGCCCTCCCTGTCCCAGCACGAGCACTGACCGGGTGCCCAGCAGGGATGTGCCATCTCTCCCCGTCACACACACTGGGCGGCAGCAGATGCAGAGCTGAGGCGTGAAGGAGGGCTGAGGGCTGAGGGCCTCCAGGCTTGGGATCTGGATCTCCTCTGGTCATTGGGGCTGAGGGCCTTGGCACCACCCACAACGTGCGCAAAGCAGGGCTCACTGCTTCTCCGCACTCCAGGTGCCCGTGTGCTTTCCTTGCAGCCAGCCGTACATCGTGTGCAGACAGTGCCCTGAGTACCGGAGGCAGGCGGGCCAGCCCCTCCCCTGCCCAGGTCCTGGCAGTGAGCCAGGGGCAGCCCAGGCTCCTGGGGACGCACCATCCACGTCCACCAGCGTCACGACAGGTGAGACACCATGCCTTCCAAACCGCCGTGGTTCCTTCCAGCTACTCCCTGTCTTCCGCCCCACTCTGGTCGCTGCCTCCCTTGCCGCACCGCCTCTCCTACCTTGTTGCTGCTCGTATTCTGTTGTGGGTTAAGAAACCAGAGAGTTAAGTTGTTCTCTTGTGGATCTCCGCTTCTGGGACCTCCCCGGGGATCAGTCGTGATTCTAACACGTGGAACCCCCAGTCTGCTGCTTTGGGCTCTGGCATCCCCAGGGCTGCTTGCTAAAGCTGAAATGACTCTCCTACTTGGGCCCCTCAATGAGACCTTGGCTTCTTCTCGGCCCCAGGCTGTGGTTGTTGTCAAAGCCACCCTGAGCTCCGCCCACTGGCGGGTTCTCGGGTGCCATCGAGAAAGGGAAAGAGAACATGTGAGATCCATGTTTTTGGCCCTGGCCATTCTTTGGTAGGGCCTGGTTTTCTTAGCTGATGTGGGCCTGAGCCTGTCATAAGGCCACTGACTCAGGATTGTGACCCAGAGCCGCGTCGAGGCCATCCACCATGACGTTCTCTCCATGGGTTCTGCAGCCTCCCCCGTGGACAGAGATATGGGCAGTGTGGTGCCTGGTCACCTCCCGACTCTGCCACTCCACAGGCGCGGTGTCCTTTTCAGACAGGAAGTCCCCGGTGGGATGTGCCTGTAGCAGATGAACGTGCATAGATGGAGCTTCTGTGTGGTCACTGAGGGTTCGAGGCTGGGCTGTGTAGACACCACTCTGCAGGGAGTGGTGGGGTCAGCCAGTCATGCCCATCAGGCCTGTCACTTGTTTATTTGGAAGAGACATAATAGAGTTCTAAATATAGAACTTGGTCTGTTACCTTACGGTGTGTGCTGTATGGCCCAAGGAAACGGTAGAAAATCTTCAAGTGATCTTTGAAATCTTGCTGTAACTGTTGAACTGAAATACCACTTTTGTTTGTTTTTCATTCTATTTAAAATGTGGACTACTGTTTGGCCGTTAGGAAAACAAGTGTGAGTTCTCCCTGGGTTTTCCTGTGGATGTGTCTCCGTGTGTCCCTTCCAGCCACTCCCCTAGACGTGTGTCTAATCTGCTCTTTCCACCTGTGTCCCGATGTGTGCGGCCTGAACGTCCTGTCTGTTCCGCAGCCCAGGATTACGTGTGCGCCCTGCAAGGCAGCCATGCCATATGCACCTGCTGCTTCCAGCCCATGCCCGACCGGAGGGCAGAACGTGAGCAGGACCCCCGCATCGCCCCCCAGCAGTGTGAGTAAGGGCGCGCGCGGACGCTGGCCGCCTAAGTGGCGTCTCCACCGCAGAGCCTCTTCTGTGTGTGCTTCTAGGCTCAGGTCGCAGAGTGTTGCCGACTATACCCAGTGTGCTGTGAAGATGGGGGTCTGTTGCCTCATCTGCATACTCAGTTGCGTGTACAACCATATCGAATGACCATCTTTTCCTGGCAGTTGATGGCCCACCCCTTCATGCACCGGGTGTCCGTGTGTGGGTGGCCCTCCTCCTGGAGTCTGCATCTGACCTTTGTAGCCACATCAGGATCAGCATATTCCCATAATGTGTCACTTGTAAATGTGACAGGTGGAATACGGTGCTTTAATTTCCAGTTCTGGGATCGCTGTTAAAATGGACTTTGCCATTTATTTAATGGTTATGTGAATTTACTTCTCACTGAAATGGCCTGACTGGTGGTCGTGCTGTGTCCACAGGTGCTGTTTGCCTGCAGCCTTTCTGCCACCTGTACTGGGGCTGCGCCCGGGCTGGCTGCCTTGGCTGCCTGGCCCCATTCTGTGGTAATGCCGGCTCTTCAGCTCTCTGCATGTTCTCTTGCTGCATTTGGGGGGAGGGGTAGCGTGGCATGACTTAAGGGAGGCCACCATTGGTGGCCACAGATTACCTATCTTCTTCTCACATGTTTGACATTTATTTTTTTAAATGTTTATTTAATTACTTAGTGTGCATACAAGAGTGAGGAAAGAGCAGAGAGAGGAAGGGAGAAAGAGAATCCCAGCCAGGCCCCACCCCACAGGGCAGAGCCCAGCATGGGGTGAGATCTCAGGAACCGTGAGATCATGGCCTGAGTTGATATGAAGAGTCGGACGCCCAACCAGCTGAGCCACCCAGGCACCCCTTATGTTTGCCATTTAGGAGGGTCCCTCTGTGCTAGCTCAGAAGCAGGCAGTAAATAACAACACTACAGGCTACTGAGCTCAGTCAGGAGGGCTTCCTTATGTGCAAGGAACACCGCCAACAGAAACGCCCTGTCTGGCTGTGGCGTTCAGACTCCACAGCGCCAGACCAGGTGCACCACCGTCCATTTCAGGAAGGAATGGACCTCATGTCATTTTACTTGTTCTGTTTCTAACACTGTATTTTATCATGGAACTTCTTATTCTTCCTGGACTCTGTAAGGAAGGAAATTTGCTTATTTTAGTTGTTCGTGAATGATATTTTCATAGAATATAAGATGGTGTCTTTGCTTCCTTCTGTTTGGCAGAGCTGGACCTGGGTGACAGGTGTCTGGACGGGGTTCTGAGCAACAATCACTATGAGTCAGACGTCCTGAAGGTAATGGATTTCACGTACAGGTGCGGGTGGGGCTCAGGCCCAGCAGAGGCCCCCAGGAGGCTTTTAGCTCTCCCCATGGCTCTGACCAGCCCTGCTGCTGAGTGTACCACGTTGGTGTTTTCCTGTGTGTCCTCGTCTTCTAAGAAATAGTTCTTTCCTGCACACCCATCATGCCATGAGTGCACACGTGTCGGCTCCAGTGCCTGTGTGCTCCACGCAGTTTCGGGGTCTGGGTGGGGGCTGGGCCGGCCCTCTGCTAGAACTTGGGCCTCTCTCTGGCTTCCTCCTCTCTGACATTGTCCTTCCCGTGTCTTAGGAAGCTGACATGGCTCTTAGAATTGGAGTGTTTGATGTGCACGCCATTCTCTTGGCCGGAGTGGTGCCTGTATCCCGCGTATGCAGTGTTGCACACGCAGGACTTGTGTGGCAGGCCCCTTGGCCCCGCTCACTCTGGTTAGATGTCCACGTGCTGCTCTCTTGTAGGTCCGCACAAAAGAGCCGAGAGCAAAAGGTAGATCCAAAACCTCAGCTTCCTTTCCGTGTGGTCAGGGGTCTGCTGCTGCACTAGGGCAGCCTCGGCCAAGATTGGGTATTCCCTCCCCCCCACCCCCGCTCCTGTGCTCGGAGTGTCTGCAGAACTTTGGATAGAATGTGGTAACTCGTGCGTTCAGAGTTCAGAAGCTAGCCTTCCTTCTGAGGCTCCGACAAAGCATCTCGGCCGAGAGCCCTTGCAGACTAGCTTGTGAGTGTGTCGCCGGGTCCCGGGCATCCTGGTCCTCCTGTGTTGCGGTTCTGGAAGCCCTCGCAACGGCCCGCTGCACAGCCCTGCCGTGTTTAGCCTGCCTGTGCTGTGGCCTCACCCACCTGCTAGGGCCTTTTATGAAATGTTCACTTTATTGTCATTTTAGCGTTTTGTTTTCTGAGCTAGTATTTCTAAGAATGCCCTTCTTTCTCATCCCAGAATTACCTGGCAACCAGGGGTTTGACGTGGAAAAACATGTTGACTGAAAGCCTCATGGCTCTGCAGAGGGGGGTGTTTCTGCTGTCAGGTAAGCGCGTCGCCCCTGCCTTCCCCTCGCTGGTGTGGCGGTGTGTTTGCAGTGGTCGCTGCCGCCTCTGGGGAGGAGAGTTCCAGGCCGCCTTCCTGTGTGCACACCCTCCCCCTCCACCCACCCTGGGGGGGGCGGGCAGACAGGCACCAGCACTTCAGGATTTGAGCCCATGTGACATATTCTAGCATCTTTTCTGCCCGGTTGGAGGGAGGGACACAACTGAAGAGACTGTGACCCCGCGTCTTGGCATCGATCAGATTCTGGAGCCAGTGGTTCTCAAGCCTTCAGGGTCCTTGTGGGACTTTCACTTGCTGTGCTGGTGACTCGGTGCCGGCTTGGCCCGTCTCCCAGGGCTGCCCAGGACGTTGTGACATGTGGTTTTTGTCACTCAGGGAGGGTGCAGAAGAATCAGCAAATGACTTTCCTTTCTAAGACATACATTATGGAAGGCTTCAGAAGCTGCCGGGAATCCTCCTCAGCAGACGCGTTCTCACAAATGTCTCAGGGGTTCTGTGCCGCCACAGCCCTCAGGGCGCCCGGTCTGTCACCTGGGCCTGAGCTCCATTAGCTTCTTAGTGACTGCTGCACGCGTGGCCCAGAAAGACATGTGAGTGATGGGAAACACAGCGCATAAAGAGAAAATCATGGGGGATCCCACCCTCTGAGGACCCAGTGGTCACACCACACGGCCTGTGCACCCGCCACACGTGGACACGGTTGTGGTCCTCACAAATGAAACCCTACCACATGTGCTGTTCACTCAGCAGTATTCCTTGGACCCTTTTTATGTCAAGTTCTTTACCTCGATTATTTTTCAAGTTTATTTATTTATTTATTTTTTAATATTTTTAAATTTATTTTTAGGAGAGAGAGAGACAGACAGACAGACACAGCGTGAACAGGGGAGGGTCAGAGAGAGAGGGAGATACAGAATCCGAAACAGGCTCCAGGCTCTGAGCTAGCTATCAGCACAGAGCCGGACGCGGGGCTCGAACCCATGAACCGTGAGATCATGACCTAAGCGAAAGTCGGACGCTTAACCGACTAAGCCACCCAGGCGCCCCTCAAGTTTATGTATTTTGAGACAGTGCAAGTGGGGAAGGGACAGAGAGAGAACAAGAATCCCAACTCGGGGCTTGAGGTCACGAAACCATGAGATCATGGCCTGAGCCGAAATCGAGAGTTGGACGCTCAGGCACCCCTACCTTGATTTTTATTGTATAGTATTCTAGTATCATCGTTTGTTTAACCAGATCATTACTATAGGATATTTAGGTGGTTCTCCCCTTTCCGCTATCTGAATAAGCACTGCGGCTGCAGAGCATACAAGATGATAGGTTAGGAAAATCGTTCCATCAGGATAAATAAGTAAATTGTTAGACAGTGGTATGAACAGTTGAGACTTTGCCATATTTGCTGTCCCTCCCTCCCCCCGAAGAACGTGCCTCAGCATCTTCCTGAGCCCTTCTGCCCTGAGTTTACCCGTAAATAGAGACAAGGCAACTGGGATGTATCATTGGTTTATCTGCCTGTGTTTGACTCTTAGGAGAATTGAAGATCTTTTTGTTTTATGGTTCGTTGGCTTGTCTGTGACCTTGGCCCATACTTATATTAGTCTATTTGGATTTGAGGGTACGGGTTGGTAGGATATCTTTGTCATTTAAAGGTGTCACATATTGTTGCTTATGTGGCAAATGTGCTTTTCCACTATTTTATTAAGATCTCACCTTTGTTGGGGCGCCTGGGTGGTTTAGTCGGTTAAGCATCCGACTTTCGCTTAGGTCATGATCTCGCGGTTCGTGGGTTCGAGCCCCGCGTCGGGCTCTGTGCTGACTGCCAGCTCAGAGCCTGGACCCTGCTTCAGATTCTGTGTCTCCCTCTCTCTCTGACCCTCCCCTGCTCGCGCTGTCTCTCTCTCCTAGAAATAAATTAAAAAAAACGTTTAAAAAAAAAAAAAAAAGGATCTCACCTTTGTTATATGTGTTTCCATTGTGGTGTTTAAGTTGTCAGTAGTCAGATTTATAGGTCCATTCTTGTGACGTAATAGCTCAAGAGAAAAATAATACTCATTCCTCTTAGTACTTTTTAAAATTTTTATTTCTATTATGATTTTTTAAAAATGCTCTATTTTTTAAGCTTATTTATTTACTTAGAGAGAGAGAGCACGCGCGCGCGAGCTTGTGTGCTTGAGTGGAGGGTGGGGAGGGCTGGAGAGCAGGGAGAGAGAGACTCCCAAGCAGGCTCCATGCTGCCAGCAGAGTCCCATGTGGGGCTTGAATTCACCAACTGTAAAATCATGACTTGAGCCAAAGTCCAAAGTTGGACGCTTAACTGAATCCACTGCTACTTTTTTGGATTTTTAAAGTGTTTGAATTTTTTACCCAAGTGGAATTACTTTGCTGTGAGGAAATCAGTTGGTATCGAGATTGGTTTTGTTCTTGTTTTCTGAGAGTCTGGCCCATTGTCTCTACCCCATTTATGGGTCGGCGCACTGGTTACCCACTGGTTTGCAGGAGGCCACAGCTGTTCTGCTGCTCTGGAAACATGATGCAGCCTGATGGCTGCCATGCCCACATGAGGCTGTGTCCTTCCAGATTACAGAATCACAGGGAACACTGTACTCTGTTACTGCTGTGGCCTGAGAAGCTTCCGAGAGCTGACCTACCAATATCGGCAGAACATTCCTGCTTCCGAGTTGCCAGGTAAGAAGTCCCTCACCCCCCGACTCAGTTCTGTCTAGTCTAGATGGGCTTCTGCGTTCTCAGTGGGTATCAGCAGGGACAAGACAGGGAAGATGGGCTGCCTGACAGCCATGCTTATTCCCAGGCCATCCTCGACCCCGAGTTAGCTCAGGTTCTGGGCCTGTTGGCCGTGACACACGTTTCTAAAACAAGATTCACAAAAACAACCTATAGACCATTGTAGAAGTCTTATTTCCTAAGTTGGGCTTTCAATTAAACTGTTTTTTCCCCTTGGAATCTTAGAACAAGCAAGGAAACTAGTTATAAAGTGTGACAGAATGCTACAACTGTAGTTTTTTCTCTTTGGGTCTTTACTTAAATTGGCTTAGCTGTGTTTGTGATCGGCTGTGTATTACACACACATGACTTTTTCTCTCCCCAGTGGCTGTAACATCCCGTCCTGACTGCTATTGGGGCCGCAACTGCCGCACTCAGGTGAAGGCCCACCACGCGATGTGAGTGAGACGCGCCAGACAACCAGGGCCGGGGAGGGCGCCAGAGTGGCCTCCTGCAGAAAGGCAGACCCCCGTTTTCCTACCAGGAAGGCGATTTTATTTCTTTTAAGTGTTTTGGCCAAGTTGATACCTCAGCTTTTAGAGATCTTCATGAACTAGTTAACTATTTACTTGTAAATATAGTCATTTAGTTCTGTTTGTATAAAGTCCTAGTGTTATTGTTTCAAAACTCTGCTCTTCTGTTCTCATTTCATGAAGCGTTTGCATGCAGACGTTACCTCTGTGTCTGCAGAATGAACACACCTGTTGTTCCCACTGACACCTTGGAGGATTAGTGCTTTGTGACTCCGTGGCCGTGGTCACTGAGAACTTCCGGCCTGTGTACATGCCGCTGCCCCGAGTCTGCGTTTGGTGCCGTGAGCACAGGTCTGTGTTGGCTCTAACTCGGCGGCTGTCACTGGGCACTGTCCTACTTCCAGTGACATCTGCATTGCCACACGGGCTCATCTGCAGATGTGAGTTTATCTGCACTTTCAAACCATAGGTGAGGTGTCGTGTAAATCAACCTCATGGATTGATGCTTCTTGAGGCTACTGTGATGCCCAGTCACTTGTGGTTCACATCAAAGTTACTGACAGTGTGCCCATCATGCAGGAGATAAGGCCCCAAGTGAAGGCTCCCTGGAGGACTGATTCTGTGGAATAAACACCTTGCTTTCTATTTGAGCATAGATAGTGTCTCGGAAACCATTTCCTTATAGGGAAAGAGATTTTACTAGTAACTAGCCAGTCTTTCTTAATAAAGACACAGATAAGGATAGGAAGGGCACATGGGTCTTCCTCTGGGCATCCCCTGCTCATCACAAAGAAGGAGGTGGTGGCACTGGCACCCAGTGGGTGAGTCTGTTGGTCCTGCCCTGCACGGTGGCCCATGGTGCCTGGGGTATTTTGAACTGGCACAGCTTTGAGTCTCTTCTCTAAGAAAATTACCTAAAATGTGTGACTTATTTTAAATTTTTTATAGTTTATTTATTTTTGAGACAGAACATGAGCGGGGGAGGGGCAGAGAGAGAGGGAGACACAGAATCTGAAACAGGCTCCAGGCTCTGAGCTGTCAGCACAGAGCCCAATGTGGGGCTCGAACCCACAAACCGCGAGATCATGACCTGAGCCGAAGTCAGATGCTCAACCGACTGAGCCACCCAGGTGCCCCCGAAAATGTGTGACTTAAAAAAGTAAAAAAATTGAATGTTTGGCTTTAAAATTTAAGAAGGAAAAGAAAGCTGCCATAGGGCTTCATGCCTTTGGTGGGATTAGGCCATGCCACTGTGAGCTACCCCGTGTGCGCGATCAGTTTCTCATCAAGCTCCTCCGGCATGTGATCCCCAAATTCACTTATTGGAATGCTTCTTGATGCCGGCTTGTATAATTTGACTTTTTTCTTCTTGCAGGAAATTCAATCATATCTGTGAACAGACAAGGTTCAAGAACTGAGCATGTAGGAGGCACCAAGGTGGCGTGGGGGTAGTGGAATTCAGCGACCGTGTGTTCAGGAAATACCGGATACGAACATTTTAAGGGCATTTTACAGTCCCCCAGGGAGTGCTGGGGGTCTCTACATCCGGCACTGTAGTGTGGCTTTTTCTTTTGTGGCGCGAGACCCACCCTCCCCACAGTGGCCTGAGAGGCCTGGGGTGGCACGAACAGCCCCTCCTCTGGCCTTGGGGCCACCAGAGCGCCATCAGCCAGAAGAACTGCTATCAGCCGCCCCCTCGCGCTCAGACGATGACGTTCAGGTTTGCTCTTCGGACCTTTCCCAAAACTGTGGCTAGGACAGACGTCTCTCTTCAAGGAAGCTCTCATGGGAGAAAAAAGAAAGTCTGTCAGAACGGTCCTGTCATTGAAGGGAAAGCGGGCAAAGGGCTTACAGCCTGTGGGCACAGCGAAGGCCCTGCGCGGGGAGAGCCACGGCTCCTAGGCGCTTGTATTTATGAGAGGTTTGGTGCTGATCTTCTAGCAAGATTTATCACAGACTGTAGCACAAGTAATATAATATATAATTTGCAAATTGACTAAAATTGGGATAGTAGGGGATTTGAAGGAATAAACGTGTTTCTGTTTATTACAAAAAGGAAAAAATCAGACGTCCGGAACCGCTAACCCTAGACCCCCAGTGTTAGGCGCGTGGCCCGGTCCCAGAAGGGGGTAAGGTGGGTCGTTCCCACCCTCAGCCTGCTGTGGAGCAGAGCCCTGGTGCCCGCTTCTCTCTCCATGGGCACAGCCGCAGGCCCTGCTGAGCTGCCCCGTGGTCTTTGTTCCCTGCTGGGCTAGCTCGGCCCCGGGGTGCCCCGGCCCTCCTGGGGCGGCCCCTGCCCTGAGAGTGCCGGGGACCTTGTGGGCGAGACCTCGTCTCCTTCGTTGGGTTTGCCATGTCATCTGGAATGATACTTGAAATTTTGTTCTTTGTTAAAAAAAAGTTTTTTATCGTTTGTTGAAATCATTTGTTATTTTTGTTTGCAAAATTGTAACTTTTTGCTTCTTCTCAGGAATAGGATTTTCAACTGTTGTCTTGCTCTTGATACAGACTCTGAGAAGCAGCGCTGTTTGTGGAAAAGGCCTCCTTCCGTATTCTAATAAACAAGCCGTGTCTGTTTCTCTCCCTACACGCTTGTCCGTGCACTGGGCTCCTGCCCTTTGCTGCTCCCTGCTCCTGGCTCCCCAGGGTCCCATCTGCAGCCTCGCTCAGGCGAGCGCGAGGCGGGGCCCAGGTCTCAGTACTCGGGAAGAGGGGAGAGGCATAGGATCTCTTGGGTCCTATGCCAGATGACAGCCTTTTGGTCACCCGGTGAAGCTGTGGCTTTGTGTCTAAGTCCTGGGCGTGGCCCGCACAGGAGCGAGCCCTGTCCTCCGCGTCGTCACTCCCTTCTCTCCTGAAAAGTAAGAGCAAAGATGTGGCTCTTTAGCGTTCTACCAGCTCTGTAAGCCTAGGTTTAAGAAGGGCATGGGATTTACTTGGTCTGCAGTGGCTCCTCCTGAGGGGAGGGGACATGTCATGATGGGTTGCTGGGTCCGCAGGGCGGGGCCGGCTCTGGTGGGACTTGGGCTCCTCGCTCCTAACAGGGGTGGGAGGTCAGCACAGAGCTGGCCTGCTCTAGCTCGTGGGGAGCTTGGGGACCAGGGCAGTTACTCTCTGGGCTGTTTTACAGTCCTGGGTGGCCAGTATTTATGACGTTTTTATGACTCTTCTGTTCATCCACACCCTCCCACCCACCTCACAGTTGGGCTGGAGCCCAGCCTGTGTCTGACCTGGTGGCACAGGCTGCCTTGGTGTGAGTGGACGGCATCTCACCTGTGTGCTCGCCTCCAGGTATGTGGGCCCCGGCCTGGAGCAGGCCCGGCGGGGTCTCTGCTGCCTGCCCCCTCCTCCTCCCACGGCCTCCCCCAGCCCATCCCGAGTGTGTCCCTCTGGGGCTCTGGTGTCCCCATCAGACGAGGGGCCAACCCTCCCTGTGTCTCTATCAGTGGTGCCCCCTTAAGGGGCTGCCCAGCAGCCGGGCCTGGCCTGCGACTCCCGGCTGTGAGGGGAGGAGGCCTTACTGGGTGCAGCCAAGAATCCAGCAGAGCTGATGGGGTCAGGCTCACTGGCCCAGAGCTGAGAGGGGCAGAGCGACCTTGGCGGATTGCGCCTCCGGGAAGCAACCAAACCGAAGCGGTGGAGAGGGTCAGCATGCAGCCTGCAGAGAGGAGGCCCAGAGAAGCCCGGCTCTGAGTCTGGATGGCCGTGGGGGACACCAGCAGCAGGAAGCCAGCCTCCAGGCTGGAGGGAGAAAATGAATGGGGGGCTGGCTGGACTTAGAAAGCCCAGCGCAGATCTGGATTCAAGTGTGGCTAGATGCGGGAGACTAGGCACCACGTGGGAACCCTTCCCTCCCTCTGTTTGTGGTAGCAACTTCTAGACCTCAGCCTCCAGCAGGCAGAAGCCGTGAACCTCCCCACTGGTTCAAATGGAAACCCGCCCCTGACCTAGTCACTAACGGGCCAGAGCAGAGCCTCCCGCCCACCTGGCAGGCGGCACTCAGCAGGCAGGTGGAGTGGCCTCAGGCAAGAGGAAGAGGAGCATCAAGGGTTGTCACCAGGAAGGAGTGGCTGCTGGACAGCAGCTCTGGGGCTTGACCCAGCAGCCAGACCTCAGGCTGCCCAGGCCTGACCCCAGCGGGAATCCTGCTGGCCAGGCCAAGAGGAGTGCTGGGCGGGTCTCGGTTACGCGCCCGTAGATGCCAGCCCATGGGGGGCGGGGGGCACATGGAGGAGCCTAGGCACACTCATGCAGTTAGTCCCACGGTCCTTGATGCAGCACAGCTAAGCCGTGTGCACTCCTTCCTGCTGCCAGCCCCTGTCCCGGCTATTGAGAGGAGGGTGAGGGGGACTCCGTTCTGAAGGGTGGCCGGCCACAGCACGAGCCCCGGTGACCTACAGAAGAGCTGCCTCGCCAGCTCCCAGGAGATCATCGTTCTGGCATCAGCAGTGTTGTGAGCCAGTCACCTAAACACAGACATTTAAAAACCAAACAAGTTTGGAATTCGTAAGTTACATTAACGACAAAGGTAATAAGCACTCGGGACTCCCCCCTTCCCAATGAATTTCTTCCACCCAACCATTGAGTGTGTCTCGAGGGTGCCTGCTGGGCGGGGGTTCTCTGTGATGGTGCGCACCCCTGCCCACCCTCCGTTTGTGGACCTCACCCTGGTAGCTGGAAATCTGCCCTGCTGGGAGAGGGTTCACACTGGAAACTGGTAAATGCTACAAATCCAGGTCACGTCATTTTGTTAGAACACTTAAAATATAACTGTGAGAACTAATGTAGTTGTTTGAAGCCACTATGTTTTGGGGTGGCTTGTTACACAGCAAAGAATAACAGTATCGTGTCTCAGGAAGGCCTGGCACTGGGTGGCCCCGCCCCACCCCCAGAAAAATCTCCCTTTCTGCCCACCCCACCTGCAGGGCCTTCCTACATCTGGGCCATCGAAGAGCGACCCTGGCTGCAGAGCACAGACGGTGATCTCAGTGCAGATATGCTGCTCAAAGGGTGCTCCCTGGACACCTCACCACACACAGCCCTCTGTCTGGCCATTCTGGTGTTAGCCTGCTGGGTGTTCTTCCTGGTGCCTGTCATTACTGCAAAGTAAACATGTGTTTACTGTCTGTCTTCCCCCACCACACCCCCCATTATCCAGGGCAGGTATCATCTTGTCTTTTTCACTGTTGGATACTTGGCCAAAACATGTGACGTGGACAAGCATCTGATAGTTGTCGGCTGCCTGGTGTCTGGTGGTTGAGTGCACGGACAGATTTAAAGACTCAGCTTAGATATCACTTTACTGGGCATCTTCCCTGTGGCACAGGGTGCGGCTCCTTGTTGCCTCTCTGTTAACCTGTGTGCACTCTGATTTTTTCTTTTGTGTTTGTCTTCTCAAGATGGTGAGCTTGAAACCCACCAGTGGCTTCCCACTACTCCGGCAGACCCTATGCAGCTTGCCCCCTCAGTCTCATCGTAGACCCCCTCCCATTCTGGATGCGCTGATTCCTTTCCTGGTAAAGCTCTTCCCCAGACGCTTCTATGCCTGCCTCCTCATGCAGTTCAGCTCAACTAGGACTTCCTCAAAGAAATCTTGGAAGACGTGGCTCTCCTTGCTGTTCCCTTGCCTGAAATACTTCGCACAGTGACCTGCATGTCTCCTTACTTCATTCACGTGTTTGCTCGAACAAACCATCCATCTAGAATAGCAGCATGCCTCCACACCGTACCTTTACCTGCCCTTTCCTGAACTCCTCACTTCCTGTCTTGTATTTCTGTTGTCTGGTTCTCTGACAGGATGTCAGTGCCCATGAGAGCAGGGATTGTGTACAGTGTCTAGAATAGCACTTGGAATACAGCAGGCCACTTATTAAGTGAACAAATGAATGATGACCTGATGTAAATGGCAGCCTCTCCCACTGACCGGCACCATTTCCTTCACATGAATTACGCTCTGAAGGGCTGGTCTCTCCCACACGAATAAGCTGAGCTGAAGCAGGGGTCCGGTGAGAGACCGCTAACCCTGCACTCCCCAGCTAACCCCCGCACTTAGAACATTGACCAGCACACTCAAGGCTCTAGAATGTGTCCATTGATGGATGGATAACGAAATATGATATATCCAGACAGTCCAATATTATTCATCTGTAAAAAGGAGCAAAGCTCTGATACATGCTAAAACATGAATGAATCTCAAAGCCTATGCTAAATGAAAGAGAAGGCAGTCACAAAATGTCACATATTGTGTGATTCTTTTTATATCAAATGCTCAGAATAGGCCAATCCATAGAGACAGAAAGCAGTTGTCAGGGAAAGGAGGACTGGGGGGGGGGGGGAGGCTGCATACATATGGACCAGAGGGATCCTTTGGGGGTTATGGAAGTGTTTTATAACTGCATTGCAGTGAATTCAGTTTTATTTACTAAAATTTAGTAAATGTAACTGCAAACTTAAAAATGGAATTATATGCATAAAATGGGTAAATTATATTGTAAGTAAATAGTACCTTAGTAAAACATAAAAAGTTTTACCTAGATTAGCACTTTTTTCCCTGCACAGATATACCATCTATATATAGGCCCATTTACATTTACGTTTTGCGTTGTCACATTTTACTTGCTGATTTGTTTCTCCAATTTCCCCTACTGGTTGCATCCTTCATAGCTATAGTATAAAACCAGGAAGCGTGTCATCCCAAAGTGTGTACACCTCAGGATGCAGAACTGTTCTCACCATAAAGACCCCTCCCCTGCCTTGCTTTAGCCACTCACACCCCCACCATTCCTTGGCAACCAATAATCTGCCTTCTATCCCTATAATCGTTGTCATTTTACAAATATTATGTATGTGAAGGCATGTAATAAACTATACTTATTTTGAGATTTTTTCCCCCCTCAGCATGATGCCTTGGTGATTCATCTAAGCCGTTGGCATGTATCAGTCAGTAGCCCTTTTTCACTGAGGAAGAGGCCCCCTGATTGGATACACCACAGTTTAACCCTTTGTCCATTGTAGGATTGGTTGAATTTCAAATTTCTTTTTTTTTTTAATGTTTTTTATTTATTTCTAGGAGAGAGAGAGATAGCGTGAGCAGGGGAGGGTCAGAGAGAGAGGGAGTCACAGACTGAAACAGGCTCCAGGCTCTGAGCTGGCAGTCAGCACAGAGCCCGACGCGGGGCTCGAACCCACGAACCGCGAGATCATGACCTAAGCGAAAGTCGGACGCTTAACCGACTAAGCCACCCAGGCGCCCCAAGGATTGGTTGAATTTCAGTTGTTTCCAGTTTTGAGCTTTGATTACGAATAAAACTGTGGTGAACAATCGTGTCCAGGTTTTTGTGTGGACTTAAGTTTCATTTCTCTGAGCTAAATATCCAGGAGTGCAGCTGCTGGGTCACACAATTAAGTTTTAAAGAACTGTCAAACTATATTAGAGTTTCTGTACCATTTTATAGTCCCAGCAGCATTGTATAGTCTATACTATAGTATATATAATGTATATTACGTCATTGCCAGCATTTGGTATTGCTACTATTTATTTGAGCTGCTTTCATAGGTGTGTGTAGTAATGTCTTGAGGCAGTCTTAG